TTCCTCTACGGAATGAGGCCGAACAAGCTGAATTTTTGCAGAGAACTTTGTTTAGATTTTCTTATGAAGCACAAAAAAAAATCGAATATGCCTACCCTTGTGCATTAAGATATCGAAGGGCGAAGGTCACAAAAATCGTTTTTATTTTTGCGAAAATCTCGCTTCCAGTGCATCTGACGTCGAAGAACCCTAAAACAAAACTTACGTAAAATAGTATTTTCTACAAAATTGTTCATATACATTTTTTTGTACGACCAACCCTTTTCGAAATATAGCATGATAAAGCGGGAGCGCACATTCAAAATAAGTGAGACTGTATCATACAGGTTATCCCCCTGTTCAACTGGTCAAAAATGCCAGGGTATATAGAGGAACTATAGAGAAGTAATTTGAAATAGGACACCGATGGCCGGAAGTGCGTCGTTTCCAAAATACAAGGTGTTGAAATTTAAACAACCCCTTCTCATATCATCTGGAGGGCTAATGCTAGGCGGTTCAAATTTTCAGGGATTATTGATGTAGGAAGGATATTTAAAAATTTGTATAATGCATCCCCATTTTCTACCTGGAACTATCTTGAAAAAAAAATAAAAATTTGAAACGAATTGTTTTTTTGTTATAATTTTATTTTATTTTTTTTCTTCTTTGAGATGGTTCCAGGTAGAAAATGGGGGTGCGTCATACGAATTTTCAAATATCATTCTCACATCAATAATCCCTGGAAATTTGAACAGCCTAGCATCAGCCCTTCAGATGATATGAAAAGAGGTTGTTTAAATTTCAACACCCTGTATTTTGGAAACGACGCACTTCTGACCATTGGTGTCCTATCTCAAGTTACTTCTCCATGGTTCCTCTATATACCCTAGCATTTTTGACAAGTTGAACAGGGACACCCTGTATAATACTGTATCACCTATTTAGAATGCGCGCTCCCGCTTCATCACGCTATATTTCGAAAACGATTGGTCGTACAAAAAAATGTATAGGAACAATTTTGTAAAAAATACTATTTTACGTAAGTTTTGTTTTGGGTTCTTCGACGTCAGATGCACTGAAAGCGAGATTTTCGATAAAATGACGTCTTTCATGACCTTTGACCTTCGATAACTCAAGACACAAGGGTAGGCATATTCAATTTTTTTGTGCTTTATTAGAACATTAAGGTCTCTGCAAAAATTCAGCTTTTTTGGCCTCATTCCGCAAATGGCCCTTTTTTTAGTATAATCCCTAATAAGTATTGGTCTGTATCCCTAATCAACCCGAAAGTGATTCTTTCAATTCTTTCAATTCTTTCATGCTTTCAATGCTTTTTTATAGTCCACGAAGGTGAGATATAGAGAAAATGATTCATTGCTTTTTCTATGAGAATTTTTATTGTGAGATGTTCAGCACTGTAGCTATTCATTTTAAATACTAGACGGGTGGGGTGAGGATTTTCTTGGACAACCTGTATATTTGGGATAATGACGAGATAAATATTAGAGTCTCTGATATCAGTCCTGTCACCTTTTTCCGGACAAATTTAGGTACTCCGCACTTTTAAGACATTTGTTGAGCCTTAATAGGATAGCTTCTATTTCTACGGATTTGTGGGGCTTTTTTTTAATACACTCATAATTAGGTGGCGTCATAATGATTTCGAAGTGACTGAACTCTAGAAAAATCTCCTTAGTTTCTGGAGCACAGTTGATTTGGACTTTACTGGTTTTTGGCTTTGGATCTACCAGACTAAAGGAACATGAATGTAATATGATTTATCCTCTCTGATAAGGAAGTGTAGTCAGAAACTATCAATTTTGAACCAGCTTATAGGCCTTCTTTCCTTCAAAAGTCTCTTAGGGGCAACCAATACAAGAATTGAAGTTGATTCCTTATTTTAGGAACTATGAGACATAGACAAATTGAGGATTTGGAATCATCTATGGAAATTTCAAGATGAAATCTTTGACGCAGCTCAAAGTTTTTGGGATGAAACCCTTCTTACAAAAATCCCACCGACCCTTGTTACAAATTCTTCCATGTTGATATTTGGGTTGAAGTCTGAGGTTGGTTATTTTGAACCGCTGAAACTCCATTTCTACCAGTTGCTTCCAAGTGGATATCTTATTCGAAAATAGTCACCAGCTAAAAATTTGCAAAAATCTTAACATCTCGCCGTCAATACATTTTCATCCCAGTAAGTTGAATTCCAAATGAGAATTTTTTTTTGAAATTCTTAGTACTTTGCCACAGCTACCTTCTCAGAATATCATCATCAATCGGCCTGGTTGCGTCCACTGCTAGATATAGGCCCCTCGCAGTCTAATCCAACGTCTTCGATCCTGTGCTGCACTCATCCAAATTTTGCTCTCTTCTTTTAATGTCGTAGATCCATCTTGTTGGTATTGGTGAAAAGGTTCTTGTCAAGGTGTCCACTCTAGATTCAATTTTGTCCATCGTCCGTCTGAGGCTACGTAGCCAGCCCAGTTCCACTTTGCACTTAGCAAAAGGCCGGAATCTTAGAATCTTAATATTCTATGTTGAGATTTTGTGAGTTTATCATCAACTAGATTATCATAACTCAAAAATTCAACTCGAACAACTAGTTGAAAGTTGAAATATACCAAAATTTCGCCTTTAGCAAATACTACTACTCATATTCCTGAATGGGGCAAAAATTGGATTTATTTTCAACGTAACTATTATAGGTCCATAATACCTAGGAAACGAAATACGTTAACATACCTATAACAACCTGAGGGCATTATAAGCCCAGCGGGCGTTATGATCCATAACGCCGCCCTGAGGTGTTTTTGCTGTTGTTGTTTTATTAATTTGCACTTTATCCTAGGCAGCCACTAAATGTCCGACCGAAAACAATTTTCGGTCTGTTCAGGATTCGAACCCGGTCTACCATCAACGTTTCCCATGTAGTCAAGGGCGTTAACCCACACGACCACCGTTGCCTTGCCTTATAGAATGTTTATAGATATATTAATTTATTTTGTTTCTAGGTACAGGTACATGTCAAAATACAGAACAATATTCTGTCACATAGGCTTAACTCATTTTGGAGTCAGTTAAGTTAGCCCCGTCCCATAGAAAATTTCTGGATGAAAATTATTCCATAATTTTGCTCTCATTTTGCTCCATTTTGCTCCACTAATTTCGATTTTTGCTCCACTACAGTGGAGAGACTATGTCGCCTATTAGGTAGGGGGGGTTGATCATGCTCATTTTGTTCTCCGAGTTTTGCTCCATTTTGCTCCATGATCGGCAAGTTTTGCTCCATTACCAGGAATGACCTACAGAGCTCCCAAGAATCTCTATTTTAGTCTTTTTCTTCTACAGTTCGATAAAAAGGATGCAAATACACTCAGTGCGCACTGAATCTACCAATCGGAAGCTCCATAAATAAAACATATGTTTTTATGTTATGATTGGTTCAAATATGACACTGAGGTGACTCTTTTTGTCATTGGCTGAGTTTGCTTTTGTCATATTTTTCGTCGATTTGCTCCGAAATTTTGACAGGCACGTGACTGGATAAGACAGTTCAGTTCACAAATCACGTGTCTGTCAAAATTTCTGAGCAAATCGATGAAAAAGATGACAAAAACGAACTCGGCCATTGTTGAGGTGATAAAAAAGGTCGATTTACACAAGACAACACAATAGGAAAATGCGTACCAGCTTTATGATTGGCAAAGTGTACATTTTAGGTATTGAAATCATATTGTCATCCTGTCCTAAAAAAAATTCAAGGTATCCCAGAACCTTATTCCATATGTCACAATATTTCAGGAAAGTTTGAATTTTGATTTTTTAATGTTTTATCTTATCTTATGATATATCTATGTTAGAAGCAAATTGCGCAGAGTGGTGAGTGTTCAATGAGTGGCTAATTTCCATTATATACGAATTATGCATACTTTTCCTATTTTTCCATATTTTTCCACATAACATTAAGTTCAAATTTCTAGTTTCTGATAATTTTGGACCAATTTATAGATTAAACTGATGAATCCAGGTGATGCATTCCTTATAAAGTTAGCATTATTGGTACCTACTTGGCAGAAAAGAAGAAGAGTTGAGGTTATATTGCTAAAATAATATGCAATTAGAGAGTTATTGTAAATATGAATATATATAGTAAGGACAGCAGTTTTTTGGTCATTCAAGCAAAGAAACAAACTTCAACAAGAACATGCTAAGTTAAAAAGGTACATTTTTAAAAATGTTGAAAAGGATAAGGGAGTCTGATGAAGTAGGTACGAACTTTCTATGTGATTTCTATTGTTTACAGTATTGATTGCTCGTAGGTAAAGCTATAGTATATCTACATAATGGCCATCACTTTGAAAAGACATCTCAACCAATTTCTATTAAAAATTCCATAGACTTATCAAGTATGATACACACTTTTCTTTTCTAATACAAAGAAAATAATTAATGTGCATTGAGTGAAAAAAAAATCCTACTACAGCTCTGCTACTTGCTCCGCTCTCCGCAGCTGTTCCACAAAGTCGATGCGCTCTCTTTTCAACATCATTCCTTAAGCAATGTGGCCATGTGTCTTCTCTCTTTCTTGCATCGATTTATTTGTATTCGCTTGAGATAGATGGCGCGAAGGATTTTTTTTTCGGTAAGAGAAAATTGAAGGTGTTCACCTACTGGGATTAAATCTAGGTATGTTTAATAGTGGCGTATTAATTGTCTAATAACTACTGATTTTTAAAAAAAATTATTAAAGCATAATATTGGAAAGTGAAAAAATTAATTTGGTGTATGATGCTGAATTCCGAGTTCGAAAATCAGTATAGTAGGATCTCGAGGCGTGCACATCGTCGGGTTGCGGTTGCGAGAGAGAGTGGAACGGAACAGAACAGACCGGTCGGTCCTGACCGCGTGTAGCCGCGCAGTGTTGCCATTGGCTCGGGCCGCACCTGCTCCGATTGGCGCGGGATGGAGGGGTGCGCCATTACGATCTCTCTCTAGTACCGCGGATAAGGCATAGAGGGCTATAGACTGCACATACATAGGTCATAAAGGATTCGAAGAAGTAGAGGAGAAGGACGCGTAAGAAATCACTCTGGGTTAAACGAGTGCCGGCGGTCGTAAAACAGCGCGGCGCGAAATCGCTAAATACGTATTAAACTACGGACTATGGTAATAAGTGCGCGGTGCGGGTGCAGTGACCAGGCCCGAAAGCGATGAGTTCCAAATTCATCATCGATAGCATGCTCCCGAAGTACCACCAGCAGTTCCAGCATCAGCATTTGTTCCAAACGTCTCCGGTTAGTACCTCTTCGCTCGAAGCTAGTCTAGCTTCAGTCGTTAATTACAGTTCGTCGGCCGGTTCTCCGAGCGGTTCATCACCTCAACACTCAAACAGCAGCGCATCGTCTACATCCCCAGCATCCAGAATGTACCCGTACGTGTCAGCTGCAACGGCAGCTGCCCACCACCATCATCAACAACAAGCCGTAGCTGCGGCTGCTTTCAATGCCGCAGCCACAGGATCGATGGTTCCTGGTGGGTTCCCGACCAGCGCCAGCACAGCGGCTCTAGCAGCTGCAGCCGCAGCCGATGCCGCAGCTGACAAATCGTGCCGATACACAGCGGGACTAGCGGGAAATGTGAATCCAGCCGATTCGATGGTAAATTATACCTTAGGGCACCATCACCAGAATGGTGCGGCAGTTTCAGCTGCAAGTTCAGTAAGCGCTGCTTCAGCTTCGATGGCTGTAGCTGCTCAGTTTTATCATCAGGCCGCTAGCGCCGTCGTTGATCCGTTGAATTCTTGCTCTCAGCCCACAGCTCCCGGCGGACAACCCATACCAGATATTCCTAGATATCCTTGGATGTCAATCACAGGTACGTTTTTTTAACATTTTTATATTGCTATAAAACGACTTTTATTGCTATGTTTTATTGTTATTAGCTAATCAATTTATTCACTGATTGATATTTGCAATAAAAGTTGTTAGTTAGCTTTTTATTAGATTTTTAGCCAATTAGTAGGTATCTATTGTTTTTCATTGCTTTTTAAGTATTTTTCACTATATAATTACTTAAACTACTATGCAAAATCTCCAATCGCCAACAAGTCTAATTTGGCAGCTTGCAAATTCCAAATCTTTCATTGTAATTTTGTATTCTCTTATTTTATTTTCAAAATATCGATCGTATATTGATTTTTATTGACACATGCGCATAAGGCAAACCCAAATAAAATCAATACCTATATGCAAAAATTTAATTATTTTAACCCCAAAAGTTAAACACATACGATTCTAATTTGGGTTTAGCTTATGTGGGGATAAACAACAATATTTTTCAAATTCTCAAAATTGGACCATACAGGTGACCATCCATGATGGATTTTCATCAAACTAATATTTGATGATTGAAGTTGGAAATAAATAGCTATCCGACGGGACAAAATTTGGATAACATGAAATCAAGTTCTACACCTGTGCGCATTTGAACAAAAACTTCCTTTTGCCAAAAATTATCAAAGGGATCATCATAGGTATGATTCAGTGTGAATAATATGCATATAAAACGTCCAGTTATTTTTAGCCTGATTATGCAAAGTAAAGAAGGCAATTCAAGTTTGAGATCTCACAATTTCTATAATAGCCTAAAGGATTCGAATTAATTAAGCGGGCTTTAATGACGCAATTTCCATACTGGCAGAATTGAAGTTTTTATCTCTGGCATAAACTACCTATAGTAGGTATAATGATTTTTTTTACAGACCGATGTAGGCTAGGAGATGTTTGAAATTATTATGCATTTCCAGTTGATTATTTATATGGAAGAAAAAGGTTTAATGACCCGCTAGTGTGGTTAATTAACTATGGAATATAAAAACAAATCATTATGTTATATTTTAAATATTCTTTATTGCCTATGAAATTAATTAGGTTATTAATATTACCATTCAGTCGGTAACTTAATAGGGCTTGGCTTTAAATTATTGATTTATAGAAGTTTTGGGGGATGTTTTAAAATATTAGGTAATTAATGCCTAGCGAATGTAAAATATGTATATTTAAACAATAAAATTTAAAATATTACCTTAACAAAAATCAATCAAATCCTTGGCTTTATTCTATTAATACTTTCCAATTATAAAAAAATATGACCAGCTATTTTTAAGAGAAACAAAGGATCTATTACATATCTTGTTCTGAGATAGGAGAAAATATTATATATTTGAAATCCATGTCTCACAGTGAAGAGAATAGTTAAAGAACTGGAGTAAAACACACAGTCTATCTTCACTCTTTATTTTATAAAAAAATATAATCAGTTGAAAGGGGGTTGAACATCTTTCGGATCTATCATAGATCCATCATCAGCATAAATTCAAATGGTAGAGGGGAATATGGTCACATGATATGCCTAAGCATTAATAGTTATACATAAGTGTTCATGCTGTGTTCAACCTAAGATTAGTTGATCATGCCGCATCCAACACAAAACAAAAAGTTACAAAACAATGATGAAGATCGAAAAAAGAGTAATCATTATTTTATTATAAATATTGAAAAATTAAATTGGGCTGCCACACAAACACAGAATATACCTATAGGAAGCGGAATTCTGGACACTCATCTGGACTCTGGGATGTCCGTGGGCGTTTGGTTATTAATTAAATTCTTTCTCCAAAATTTTTTTAAGCCCGTGCTTTCTGCACGACAAGTAAGTATGTAATTACACTGCACGAGGAGTAAGTATGTATGTTACACTGCGCGAGGATTAAGTATGTAAGCACGAGCTTAAAACATTTTTGAAAAAAGAATTTAATTAATAACCAAACACCCACTATTATCCAGAGTCCAGATGAGTGTCCAAAATTCCGCCTCCTATTATAGGCATATTCTGTGTTTGTGTGGCAGTCCAATTTAATTTTTCAATGTTTATAATAAAATGATAATTACTTTTTTTTCGACCTTCGCCTTTGTTTTGTAACTTTATGTTTTGTGTTGGATGCGGCATGAACAACTCTACCTTATGTTGAATATCAGCATGAACACGTATGTATATATAACTATTAATGCTTAGGCATATCGTATGTGACCATATTCCCCTCTACCATTTGAATGTATGCTGATGATGGATCTATGATAGATCCGAAACATTTTCAATCCCCCTTTTACCTACATGATGTTACTAACCTCAAAGACAAGTTCTTGATAGAAATTAATAAATGTTCTGGCGATAAATGAATAATCTTCTGGTAAAATAATTTTATTTTCAAACGTCATATAACAGTAATTTTTGTGATCATTTTGACAAAGTATAGGTGTCACTTCAATGACTTTCAGCTTGAGCGGCGTATAAAGGTGATCCTTCTGAATTTGAATGTCATAATTTAAACTAACAATTCTGCACTATTCGGAATAAAGATTGTTTGAAAATAAAATATTGTATTTCATTCAGAGTTACAGTATTCTTCATGTGACTTGCATGGATTTGATTCGCCTCTCTGCGCTCGGCGTTCAAACTTCCATGCGCGTCACATACCTAAGTATCTTATACTCCTAATAAAATAAATATCTATTATCTACAAGCATTTGGCTATGACGTTTTTACATAACCCTTTTTCTACTATTTGAGTTACCTATGTCATGATACTCATAACACAACTAGTTGTGTTATGGACTAGGTTATGAATTCATAACACAACTAGTGGTGTTATGGACTAGGTTATGAATCTATAACACAACTATTTTTGGTGATTTGACAAATGTCAAAGTTAAACCTGTAAAGGTAAAATGAAAGTAGACAACTACCAATAAACGAAAATAATTGAAAAAACCTTCCTATTTTTCGCTTTGTAGATAAAACGTTATACTTCACACGTGCGTTTAAAGATGATTACAAAACTCGTGTGATTAGAACGACTCGGTCTACGACCTCGTCGTTCTAATCTTTCACACTCGTTATTGTAATTATGTCCATGAACGCACTTGCAATGTGAATAGCTATTATTGTTTGTCGATTTTTAACTGACACTTTCCGTATGAGGAGATATTTTTTTGAAAGCTGGTATAATCAAACTGTCACCTCATCGTTTATTGCAGGTGGTTCATTCACTCTTCAAAGGATTTAGGTGATTAAAATTGGTGGAGTATGATTGATTTCAAAAAAATAAACTAGAGGTTATGAATTCATAACACAACTAGTGGTATTATAAGACTAGGTTATGAATCTATAACACAACTATTTTTGGTGATTTGACAAATGTCAAAGTTAACCCATTAGGGGCCGGTTTCTCAATAGCGAGTCACCCCCGGGTTAAGCATAACTCCAGGGTAAACATAGCAACTGAACACGGAGCTAAAACTAATCCGGAGGTGACTCGCTATTAAGAAACCGGCCCTAGGACCCAAGAACTTTTCTTGAGCGGAATCATTATTTTTCATTATTTTTGTAAAATATAGACTAATAGAAGTACAAAAAAAGTAAATGTAACCCATATTCGGAAATTCATGGGTCAGCCGAGAGACCCATGTTTTCGAGAGACTCAGATGAGCACATTGGGTTAAGACCTTGTCAATATGCACTAACTTTATTCCAATAAAACTCATATTTTTCAAAGGTAAACAAACGGAAGTAATGACGTACACACATAAAACAATATAAATTAAATCTAGGAGTGATAAATAGCAAAACATTGTCTCTCAACGCATAAAGTTACCTACTTTGCATTTTGAGCAACTCCATCTAACCCTCTGATGACACTGAATACATCTCAGCTGTTTTTCCAATTTTAGTGGAAAATGGCCACCTTCATGTTTCTTCACACTTATTGGTAGTTGACCAGCCTGTGTGCTTTTATATTTTGCTTTTTCATATGACATGCCAAGTAATAACGAAGTATAATTCTCTTAAATTCAATTAGACTGATTGGTTCTTCACTCACAAGTTGAAATATTCTCCAAGCATTGACAAGTGTCATGTTTATCATATTGGTAAACAGCACCCGCCACCATTTTTTACCACGAACCACGACCCTATAATTACTCACAGCTTGATCATGCAGATCAACATCGCCCATGGATTAGTAGTAGTTCTGAAAAATGTTGGGTTCCGGAACGTCCCTTTTCCTTTTGCATGGGATCCAATGTGTCATAGTTTGTTACCATCGAGACTGTATTATTATCTTGCCACCTGATGAACAAAATAGCTGAATCACTATCATACATATGCTCAAAATAACCCCTATCTTTCTTTTTGAAATTTTTTACATTGGTCAGAAGTTGTTTTCTTGTTCGATTTTCGCGGACAGTTCCGGTAACTCGCTGTCCTCTCTATTTCAATGACTTTAAAAGTCCATGGCTGCTAAAGTAATTGTCGAAAAAAACAATGTGGTCCGATGGTATTGATACGCATTCCAGAAGCTCAAGTACCACCCTAGATCATCCGAAAGGAAGATTCACGACTCCATCATCAATTTTTTTTGCACCACAATAAGTGTCAAATGCGTAGCAATATCCCGTGGAACTATACAGCATCCAATTCTTATACCTAAATCGCACAGGCTTGCCTTTCATATATTGCTTGCTAGAAAACTTCACCATGGCTTCATCGATTGACAGGTGTTCATGAAATATACCCCATTGCTGGAATTTTTGATTTAGAATGGATATGAGAGGTCGCCTTTCTGCCATTCTGTCATTTTTATTTAAATTATCATTATTAGCTAAATGAATACTTTTTTTGATTTCTTGGAACCTATTTCGTGACATAGCATTTGCTACTACAAGAACGCCTAATTCTTCATCAAGACTCCGGTAATTTCTGTTATCTAGTCAAAAGAAGTATTCCTACAAATAGTTTCACATCTGGTTTGGAGACGA